AGTCAGGATGCAGTATAGCACTGATGAAACATACAACTTTCCTCTAGGTCTTTAATGCTTCCCCCACCCCCCCACTATCATGACCTCAATTCTACCTTACAAATCTGACTAGACCAGAGCATGTACACTGCTACAGATAAGAGCCCGCAACACAGGGGATGCAGGACAGATAAATCCCTCAGGACCAATAATGAGAATAGAGATACTAGGATGATAAGGGGAAGGTGGGGGGAGAAAGGAGGGATCAACAACAGGATGACCTATAACCCCCTCCCAGGGAGATGAACAACACAAAAGTGCATGTAGGGAGACAGAGGACCATGTAATATATGAAAGTAATAATCTATAATTTATCCAGGGTTCATGAGGGAGCAAGGGTGGGGGAGAGAGGAAATAAAATGAAGAGCTGATACCAAGGGCTCAAATAGACATAAAATGCTTTGAAAATGATGATGGCAACAAATGTACAAATGTGCTTGACACAATGGATGAATGTATGGATTGTGATAGGAGCTGTAAGAGTCCCCAATAAGGTATTTAATAAATAATTTTAAAAGACATGGTTTTGAACAAAAAACCAGCAACAAAACCCTGTCCTTGAGGCCATTCCAACGCATAGGGACCCTATAGGACAGGGCAGACCTGACCTGATTGGTTTCCAAGACTGGAACTCTTTTACTGGAGTAGAAAGTCTCATCTTTCTCCAGCAGAGTATCTGGTGGTTTCAAACTGCTGACCTTGTGGTTAGCAGGCCATTGCATACCCCACCATGCAACCAGAGCTCCTTCTTCACTATCCATGTTGATGTGTGCAGTTCAGTGTCCCACCCTTGGCCTGGATCAGGTCGCGCCTCTGGACTGCTTCTGTGTTCCTTCTGGCTTGCCCGCAGAGGAAGGAAGACGCTTGCAGAATAGAGCGGCAGCAGCTGCTTCCTCAAGCTCTGATATCCTTGATCGCTGCGTCAAAAGCTGCTTCAAAGAGGCGCCAGGACCCTCTCCTGGAATCATCCAGAGTGTGAGTTTGTGTGGGCCTGTTGAATGCTCCCCCTCCCCAACTTTGGCAGTTTGTTAGCATCACCTTATGGTTTTGGAGGAGGACGCTCTGTTGTTCGTGAGAAGGGCTAAAGGAGGAAGTAAGCAGTAAGTAATTAAGTAGTGGTTAGGCAAAGAAAGGCTGCTTTCAGCCGACCCAGAGCTCAGAAATTTTAAAAAGAAAAAAAATCCATAAAATAACAAGCAAAGTTGTGTAGATTTTAATTTTACTAGCTATATATTATTGTGGGAGAAACACAGGCTTTCTACTCCTGTAAAGAGTTAAACTCACAGGGATAGTTCTACCCGGTCCTATACAATTGTTAAGCGTCGGCAGTGATTTGATGGCAGTGATTTGGGTTTGGGTTTGCTGACATATTATTGAGTTCTTCTTGAAAGCAATATAGCCATGATTACTATTATTATGTCTAGTCCTATTAGTATACACTGTATATCCAATGTATATCCTATTACTCTAGTACTCAAACCAAAGAAAGAAAGAAAGAAACCTCATTGCAATCAAGTCAATGCTAACGCATATCCCCCTTGGGTTTTCAAGACTGTAACTGTTTACAGTAGTAGAAGGTCTAGTCTTTCTCCCGTGGAGCTGCTGGTCTCACCCAGTTAAGATGCTTAAAGGAAACAAAGC